CACGTGCTTGACATGGCTTACACGGCCCCTAATTAGGGGTAACGTACTCCATCATCTCAACTCACACTGGGTCGGAAGACTGCGAAATTGCTAGCATTTGTCCCCATTGACTGTGACGCACAAGCTTGCAGCTGCTACACGACATTCCACCAGAGGTGTAGTCAAAGGACCGCGACATTTCGATATTCAATGGCTTTAAGCCTTAGAGACCACAATACACGATCGCACCATCTTGTTTCCTCACGAGACCGCGCCGCCCTACCACTACTCTGGCTCAAGGCACCCAACAATAACATTAATCAAATTGAGCAGTGTTCTAACTGCACCGAATCTTCCAAATCTTCGATCACTCGAAAGCATTTCTGCTTCTTTGTCGAGACGAATGTTTGCTGTTTCAAGGTGATGAGGAGAGACATGAATGACACTTTACATTTTGACCTCCAATAAATTCATAGCCGTTGCGGTCAGCCACGTCATATATTGGATGAGATCCTGTCTAAAATTTAGGTGTTTGACGAGACAACGTGCAAGCTGTACGAGTCCTCACATTACAAAGGATGATTGAAACAACCTTGATTTATTAGTGCCCGTACGTGAGATACACGGCTGCCATATGCGTGTTTGGCATATGTAATGCTTAAACTATTATTATTTTTCATAGCCGCGCGTCGTACGCAATCACACGACGCCTCCGGACCTTTCACATATAATTTGAAATTACATAGCTCGTGGCATGATGCTCACCACCGACAAGACCGACCGTCAATCCCACGAATACGAGTACGAGAGTCGCTTTCCTCTCTCCTGGGCCCCGATATTTTCGACCTCCGCGAGGTGCATATATTTTAACGAAGAAAGAATAGGGCGCAATTCATCAATATCTCCACAAGATTTAAACTCTCACGTACCGCGGTGCTGCACGGTGGCTTTAGGAACGCTGTCTTACTTCGTATCTTTTATGAGCCCCATTTCAGCTCATTGGTCCTCCACCCCCCGCACTTCAACCAGTCTTCGTGGCTCGGAAATCGAATTCCGCATACCAGCCGTATCATCAAAAGAACGGATGTGCGCGTAAAGTGGGGTACATGGTGCACATACACATTACACTGTTGCCCAGTCTAGAAGAACCAGCGTAGTTGTACAAATGAGAAAAAAAATTGTGGAACATCTGAGCACGCCATATGGCACATTGTTATAATTTTGAATATCGCATAGGAGACATAACTCCGATTAGATGTAATTCTAAATATGAACTAAAAACAAACTTGATTCCCAGTTACAAACTTGAAAGGCTCTCATGGGTTGATCGTACGAGCCTATTCTGTTAGCGTTACTTAGTGCCGATTTTGTTTGTGAAAGTCTCTATGCAGGGCACATGGTAACCCTATGTAACCATATATTTAGCATAAAGTTGGTCTGTTTTTTTGTTTAAAATTCTGCAATGTATCATTTTTTGGTATCCATGCATTATATCACGATGACGTTTTAAATATGTGTAATTGAGGGACAAACATGCTGAAACTTATAAAGGCAGATTCTTGATTACTTACTATCAGTAACTTATATTGTCCTTCATTTTTGCCCAGATTCTTAAAATCCCGACGACAGTTTTTATTCACCAGTGCATTTTTCACGGAGAATCAGCTTTGTATTTTCAGTAAACATTTGTATGCATGTGTGGGTGGGTGAACGCAAACGAAGTCACACAAGAACATGTGACAGAATTTCAGCTATTCAAACATCGGAAAAACGCCAGTACGGTACACCAAGTCCATTGCGCATTCCGCACGCAATTGAGTGACCTTCACTCCTCGATCGCAGCATGAAGGCAATTGCGCATCGACTGCGCGGGCGTCGCACTGGTCGAAGAGACGAAGGTCTCGCTAACGAGACGGGCTTTCGATTCGAGGAGGCAGTTCAGTATGGCGATACACGGAAGCCGAACCAACAGAGAGCGGGTGGAGACCACTTAACGTTAAGTCATGAACATCAAAAGGACAATCGGCGCATGAATGGACACCTTCATTGCAAGGATGGCGATAGCATTTATAACGCGAGTACATCATCTCTAGAAAGCTCACAGTTGCATCAGCCTATCACTAGGACTCACTCCGAATCACAAGGGGATGAAGCATCAGCGCTACGGTCCCACAGCGCACCCTCCGGTAATCCAGCTATCCGAAGGTCGGTCTCATCGACCAACAGCCACAGTTCAAGCGCTGGGCGATGTACTACATCCAGATATGGCGATTGCGCTCCCTTTGTCGCCACAAACGCTTTGAAGGTCGATGAGACAGTAGAATTCGGACACAGCGGTTATTTGATGACCAAGAGCGATCTTGATGGGGTAGACAAGTACTTTTACTTTACACTACGTCATCATCCGAAGCTTTATAAGTGCGAAAATGAGACGTCTTTTAAGCTGTGGCTGAAGTCAGGGCATACACTGGACGATCGCAGCGAAAATGCCAGTACGAAGACAATTGGGCCGGATCCAGTACTGATGGGCACTATATTGCGTGCGAATATAATGTTTGAGGAAGATGAAGACGATAAACGTTTTTCAGTTATTATTGGGTCGGCATCCAGGTGTATTACATTAGATTTCATAGTAGAAGATGGAGGAAGCGCAACGCAGTGGGTCGATGCGCTACAGGAGATTCAAATCACTAAGCAACATAGCAGCGAACATCCATGCATGCTGGGATCTGCGTTGGATAAACGAATGCTACTCTCTTTAGACGAGCACGATGCGTTGCGAAGAGCTGACTCAATGTCTTCTTTTACAGAATCGATTAGTGAATATAGAGATGTGGCCGGAAAAAACATAGCACACGAAGACCGTGAGTCATTGGCACCGAAGGTTACGTCTTTATCCGATGCAAGGATGTCATACGTGCCTTCAGGCAAGACTCGATCAGATTCATTGACTGACGAGGCCATATCTGTTTTGACACCTACATCAAATATAGGGGTTTCCCCGACATCGACATCGACGACATCTGAGGATATTGATCGACTCTTAGTTTCTCGAGGACGAGCCGGCTCGAACTGTTCGAGTCATTCGCTTTATGCATCGCGCGCACATCGAATGGACTCAGTAGCATCTAACTCCTCAACGACGTCGATACAATCGCAGCGCAATATCGCTGGCAATGTTCTCCTCTTTGTACCTGTCGCTGGGTCGTCTCTTACAGTGTCTGCATCCAAACTGGCAAAGGCTAAACAGGAACTCGATGCACTCGTTGCAAATGGTGCTAGGTTACCGTCGCGTCTGATGCATGGCACCGTAAGTGGTGAAACCATTGAATGGCGTTATGGCTACCCGGAGTATGTACTTACTGATTTGGCGTATGCAAAGGGTTGTTTACGTCGGTCAGAAACCGCCTCTCTTGCTGCGTATGTGGAAGAGGGTTGCCAAACATTTGTCATGGAGGCGACACATAAATCTCGCTATGATCAGTGGAATAGTGTGGATCAAGCAAGCTTTTATCTGCAAATTAATGATGGCCTGCAGGTGCCTGGGTCATCCATTCTCGAAAATGACATGTTTGGGCTCCTCTATCTAGGCGACGCTGTGCCGTGTACAGACACAGCGTGCGAAGAATGTGAAGAACATCAGGATCCTCGTGTGGTGCTTACTGAAGCCTTCCCAGACGGTTTTCCCATGGAGGTGCTAGACGTCTTTACTCAGCCTCCCCAATGCTACTTTTCGTGGCGACACTGGGGACCGTTCACAGGCAAGTATAAAGGCATCAAGGGTGATGGACGCAAGGTAGAGATGCGCGGGTTCGGTGAAATGACGTTTAAAACTAGTCGCATCGAAAGTTTGCGACTTTTTTACAATCAAAAAGATACATTCAATGGTCTTCAACATGCTATTGACCGCGTGGTGCGAACACGTCGAGATACTGCCACTGCATTTGATTATAATTTGAGTTATGGTCGAAAGGTGCGCTCTACATCGACCATTAGCGCTCCGGTGAGGCGAAAGGGATCAGCCCCCAACCCCAAAACTTGTGAGATAGTGGAAGAGCTCGCTAATTTCACAATCGAGGCGAAGAAGCAGCACCGAAAGCAGACACAATAGGTTTGTTCGAATGGAAAAGAGTAGTGTACGACCTCAGTTTCAACTTATATATTTGAAGTGCAGTTAGGACACGAACTTCTTGGTAGCTGAAAACTTCGGTATTTATAAGAATCGTTGGTTGCGTGCTGTTTTTGGCATCACCTACCCAATAGTGCAATTATGGAGATTGAACGCGTCCAGACACGTGTCAATGTCGATGGTAAAATGCTGATCGAACAACCTCAACAGGTTGATAAAATTTTGTTATGCTAGTTGGAAGTAAAACTTAGCTCAAACCATGTTTGTTGTGCCAGACTCCATTAATCGTTCCTTCATTCGACGACGAGGATGATAGCAGTTGCTCTGACGATGAACCAGCAATGACCTCTTCAAATATGTTAAACAAGCAACGATTCATTGACAGATGCAATAAGAACAATACGGAATATGGTTATGAGGCGCAAGCTAGTTTTCGCGACAAATGCAACCAAGATGAGATTCAGCAATCATTAAGTAGCGACGTGCGATGGGACCAAGTGCGAGAAGCTGAGGAAGTAACAAATACTAACGGAACATCATGCTCGGAAATACGTGATCTTCGACAGCAAGTGAAAGCGTAAGTACTATCAGCTACCGTAAAGTGCTTTGGATAACATGATCAACGTGAATTATGTTAGATTGCAGATTCAGCTGGAAGCACAAGCGCCGGTGCCTGGGCTTGATATTGAAGCATTTCATGAAATTCTTTTGGATAAGGAAGAACTTGACCATGTGAGTCTGAACTAGCGGTAAAACACATTTGTGTAATCTTTGATTTAGATAATTTGAAATACGTAGGATATTCGCGACGTGAAGATTGTTCATCAGGCTAAGTCACTGCGAACCTTGAAGCGTTTACTACAGCGTGAGAAGCAACGTACAGCTGACTCAGTGAAGCAATGCATAGCGCTTGAAACTACTAGCAAGCACCATGAGCAAGAAATCGACACACTTAAGCTCAAGTTGCAGCGCTTGCACGCACGTGCCGCTGGAAATAAGACAAACAGCTTAAGTTCTGTCACCTCATCCGAGACCCCAACTGTGTCTACAAACGATACTTGTATCAATGACGAGAATCTGAAAAAGAACTGTGAGGCATTAAAACTCAAGAATACAGCACTTCAGCAAGAATTAAAAACTACTCAGCGTGCTTTGATCCGAGAAGTTGGTGACGACGTGCCACTCGAAGACATTATTTGTAACACAGATAGCACTACAAGTAGATCAGCCCGCCGCGGTCGTGCTCAGCACATCATCATTCTCAAATCCAAGGTCAAAAGGCTTCAGACTCAACTCGCGAATTTAAAACAAGGTTCGATTGTCTCTGATGCACAAAGTTCTGAAAATTCTGCTACGGTGTTGGACGTTGATAAACGCGCTCAACAAGATTTGTCTGATCAGCAACTGCACCGTCAAAAAGTGATTGACCAGCTATCGAGTCAGCGTGACGAATTGCAAGACCGTCTCCATCGGCTAACTCGAAAGTACGATGCTATAAAGGCTCGGGTCCAAATACTAGACCGAGAACGACAAGAAATGCGTGACAAGTTTCAAGTTTTGATTGAGAAATCAAAGACAGATGATGCGTTGATAGATGCTCTTCAACGTCAATTAGAGACGTGGAAATCAAAATTACACCAAGCAAGGCGTGCACGAACAGCAGACGGTGTAAAGAATACAAATCAAGTGGAACAAGCCGAGCTGGAGCGTCTTCGTCAACTAGTAGGCGAACATAAAGGCCAAAGTGGTGAACGATCCGCGAGTTGTTCGTTGTCATCCGATCGTACAATGCCGCGACCAAGCGAAATTGCTCAGTATCGTGCAATTGCTGTGCGTATTGACAAGTTGCACGGGTAGTTAGATCTTCATGAGCTAAGTTGTTGTGGTTTGGTCAACGAACAGGTGGAGAAGGAACGTTTGACAGAACTGGTTTGCAGCCTGAAATCTCAAGTAGAGAACAAAGATAAGCAATTACAAAGCTTGCGAGAACGGCGCGGAAACTTCGGTGCAGCATCAGAGACACTTACTCGAATCACACCGCCTCCATCCATGCCAGTCCCCGGAGATGGAAGTGTTTCGCGAATTCCAGTAAGTTAACTTATTCCCAACCTTGCTTTTATTACCTTTGCTGATTTACATTGATTCACTTTGAAGCGATTACGTGGAAGCAAAACTCCGCCCGAAGGTAGACCATTTGGTGCGTCCATGTCGAGCCTCCCGGCTTCTTTGACTGTTAAAATGGAACAGCAGCAGCAACAGCTTAAGCAAGAAATGGAGACACTGCGCAAAACGTTTCGTGAGAGCATGCGTGAAAAGGACGACCGAATTGCTGAATTAGAGCAGCAGCACAAATTGCTTGATCAGTCCGGCACCGCAAAAATGTATACTGCTGATGGAATGAGCCAGAAATTCCAGGAACTTGAAGAAGAAAACGCTTTCTTAAGACAAGAATATAACAGACTCAAATCACGCTACGAGGCTCTTGCGAAAGAAAATGAGCGTTTTAACAGTGAAAATCAACAATGAATGGCCAATGAGTATTGTTGCGTCATCTTTTCATTACTTGATGCTAAGCTCAGCTTATTACAGCTGCGCAGAGTTTTCGATACTATCATCAGGCAAGAAGTTTTCGCACATCTCTTCAGACGATTCTTCGTCTAGATCAGATCGATTTTGCTGCTCTTGTGCACAGCATTGCAGCAAATTTTGGACGGTCACAAGTTCGCGACGCAACTTTTGAACACCTTGAGATGATACAGTAGCATGTTGTTGGTTGTCGGCCAGAAGCTCGCGCAAAGAAATGAGTTCTTTCATGTCTCGACTTTCTCGCTGTATTTGTTTTTCCATCTTGATGTGGGCATGTCGCTCACTTGATGCGTTTTGCAATTTTCGGATCTGTTTCATGAGGTTGTCGTTTATGCGTTGGGTTTCTTCAAGTTTTTGAAAAGTTTGCCGCTGCTTATGGTGTAGACATTCAAGCTCGTTTCGATATTCTCCGAGCTTGTCGTTTTTCGATACGATTTTGTCTTTGGCATCTGCAAGATCCCTCTGAAGTTGTTCGACCTCCTGAGATAAAGCAGTCACACGCTTTGCTAACTGTTTCTTTTGTTTTTTATCATTCAAGAAATTTGAGACCTGTGATTCGTACTGAACGCGTTGACTGTTGATGATACTGGACAAATGCGCTCCATCTCGTTTCACATTGGCTAGCTGCTTGCAAAGCGCGTTGTTCTTCGCCTGCATTTTTGCGAGTTGCTTCTTGGTCGCGCGCACTGTCGAACGTTGTGTCTTTATCTCTTCATTCAGCTCTTGAAGTTTTAATGCTCGTGCCTTTATCTCCTGTTTGTGTTTGCTTTTCGCACGTTCTTTTCGAGCCACGTCTTGTTCCTTGGCAGCAATTTCTTGTGCTTGATAAAATTTGATTTCTTGTTCTAACTTTTGAACTTGAATCTGAATTTCCTCATAATTGTCATCTTTCGATGCAAGTTGAGCTCTTAGTGTCTTGATCTCGACCATATAATGGGATTCCTGCTGCTCCAGACGCTTCTCTGTGGCTTTGAGGAGCTCCGCTACTGTACCAAGCTGTTGGTGTATCTGCTCCGAATACTCTCGGTCTTGTTCAGCTTTGTCATACTCTTTGTTCAATCTCTCTTGTACTTCTACCACTTGCGCTTCTAGCGCCATCTTTTCGGTCTGAAGATCAGCAATTAATGTTTGAAAAGCGGTCACGTCAGACTCGTGACGTTGTAAGTGGAGGCCAATCTGAGCATTGAGCTCACTAACCTGACCGCAAAGCAATTCGTAATTGGTCTTATAATTACGTAGTGTATGCACTTCCGATCTTAGTGAAGCCATGGCTATCTGCATATGTTCTTGCTCGGTTGCGATATCGTCACCCGAATGTATCACTTGCTTCATTCCATCAACATCGTCTTGCTCAATGTATGCAGCATACCCTTCTTGATCGTGACCTCTAGAATCTTCATCACACTTCAATGGAATTATATCGAATGTTTGCGAGCCTTCGTGATCACACGAACAAACGCTGCACATGACTTAAGTACAGCCATGACATACGTCCTTTCATCGTAACGATCACAAAATTTAAATAATTTTTGTATAATTTAAATACAATTCTAATTGACTGAAATTCAGCACTTTATCATTATGGGCGGTGGCAACGGGCAGAAGTCTGCGACTAAGCGCGAGCGAAATAACGCCAAGAAAATGAAGGAAGCGAAGCAAAAAAACCACGCTGAGTCAAAAGCAAAGATGGAGGCTGATAAGAATGGCGTGAAATGTAAAATCTGCATGACTACATTTCTCATTACTGCCAGTGTACGTTCTCTCAAAGTTTGCGATTCCATTTCTATTCTTGCGTTTATATTCTGTAATTGCTTGGTTAACGAGTAGAGATCGCAGCTAAACGACCACTTTGAAAGCAAACATTCGTCTAAGGGTCTTACTATCGAGCAGTGTTTTCCCGGTAAGGTTTGAGCGGGTCACTATAAAGTCGTATCATGGAACCATTGATAGCTTTTGGAGCTGGTAGTGGTATTAATATTTTATCGGATAGATAAGTTCATTTTCTTATCAAAACCGATATTTAATACATTTTTTTTAGTAAAGTACTATTACCGCAGTAGACAGATGTTTCCATGGAATTACACAGCTGATTGTGCGTACTCCTTACCAAACGTCTTATTTTCTAAATTACTTAAATTGTACAAAAGTTTCATGGGTGGTGGCAACGGTCAGAAGTCAGCGGCGAAGCGCGATCGTAATAATGCGAAAAAGATGAAAGAGGCAAAGAATAAAAATCATGCCGAGTCAAAAGCCAAGATGGAAGCAGATCGAAATGGAATTAAATGCAAAATCTGCATGACTACGTTTCTCATCACTGCTAATGTACGTGAAATGACTTGATCTGATAGTTTAGAATGAGTTTTAATCTGTTTTTATGATAGAAAACTCAGCTAAATGATCACTATCAAAGCAAGCATGCGTCAAAAGGCTTTAGCTTGGAGCAGTGTTTTCCAGAGAACACGTAGACACTCGATAGGAAAGTAATGAAATTGTTTGCTGTATCTAATCGAGTAATATGTGATCGAAAGCGCACGTATTAAGTGTGCTGGGTGTAAATGCTTGTCTTATCTGTTGAATTTTGTTGATGTTGAACTCTTCTTTTTCACACGACGTGGGATAAAGTGTCCAGTCTTTTGTTTCCTTGTCAGTGATGCTTTCTTGCTAGTCTTTGGCTTAACAGGTGGGTCCACAACTACCTTGTTGATTGGTTCACGCGACTGGCGCTGCTTGCCGTAGAGGACGCTGCTTGTGCGCTGCTGAAACCTCTTGCGCTTCTCAAATGGGTTTTCCGTTTTGCCCCTTAAAAGTAAGCGAGCTGGCACACCAACCATGTCAAATTCCTCGCGAAGCTGGCTCAACAAAAATCGTTGGTATGACTCTGGAACTTCGGATGGTTTGCTTACGAAGACGGCAAATGTAGGAGGGCGAGACTTCACTTGTGTTGCATATTTAACGTTCAGCGTTTTGCCTTTAATCGTTGGAGGCGGATGATGCCGAGCCATAGCTTTAAGCCATCGGTTAAGGCGACCAGTTGTCACACGAAGGTCCCATTTTTCGTATGCTTTCAGCACTTCTGGCACAAGATTCTTAATGCCTTTACCCGTAAGTGCCGAGATGGGGACAATCGGGACACCACGCACCTGGGCAAGTGAATCGTGCAGTTCATTTTGAATACGTTGTAATTCATAGTCGACACGGGACCCAGACAGATCGCTCTTGTTAGCTGCAAGCACTAGCGCACGACCCTCCTCAATTACGCGCTGTGCAATAGTCAGATCCATATGAACTAACTTTGGCTCACTCATATCCACAACTACCACCACAACTTGAGCCGAGTCAATGGCACGAAAGGAATCTCGAACAGACAGATTCTCGATCTGATCATCGTGATCCCGCTTGCTGTATCGTCGAATCCCCGCTGTATCCACTAGCATGATTGGACGACCGTGAAATGTCCAGGCTACTTCCACTGAATCGCGTGTTACACCAGGCCTAGCCAAAAATAAAAATTGTGTGATATTCTAGACCAACATACCACGCATCGTTTGCACGTACTCAGGACCGGTTAGCACGCGTTCCTTGCGCACAATCTTATTAAGCAAAGTAGATTTCCCAACATTCGGACGTCCAACTATTGCAAGCTTAATCGTACGCGGCTAATAGAAATCCAAACAGCATTAAGATCAACACTATACATGTTTACATCAGAGTTTTTGTACGTACATCGTCTTCTTTATGCTCTCCTTCGTGCTGCTTTAGTCTGCCTTGTTTCTCCTCTTCAAATTTTTCATACAATGGAATGATTTCGTCAAGCAAGAGTGTGACACCTTCTCCATGCTCTGCTGACAAGGGAATTGCTCCTCCCATGCCCAATTGATAGCACTCGTTCAACTCGTCATCCCATCGCTCTGGGTCTCCTTCCAATTTGTTGGCTACTAGATGAATCGGTGCTTTAGGATCTTCTTTACGAAGCCAGCGAGCAAAATGTGTATCGACTGGCGTAACGCCTTGGCGTCCGTCGATTAAAAAGAATATAAGATCCGCCTCATGCACAGCAAGTCTTGTCTGCTCAAGCATTCCTATCTCAAGGGATCCCGACGGTGCATCTTCCAATCCACCAGTATCTATAACATCTATATCCATACCTGCAACAGTTGCACACTTGTAGCGCCGATCACGTGTAGTACCAGGAACATTGTGTACAATAGCAGAGCGAGTCTTGGTCAAGCGGTTGAAAAGCGTGCTCTTACCCACGTTGGTGCGACCCACAAGTGCAACACGAAGGCGAGGATGGTCATTGAGAAATGAACGAGAACATTCTTCGCTTACAGCGGATGAATAGCAGAGCGAAGGACGCACAAGTAGCGAAGACGCGCACGTCGAGCGCCGAACCAGCGCTCGAAGCATGCGGACGTGTGGTAGGAAGTTGAACGGCGATGTGATTGGTCAATACATTTGAAAGCCTTTCAATTTTACACTTATCTTAACTATAGTCTGATGGTGTGATGACACATCATGTTTGCATAGCACTTGAACCACGAGTAGGTATCTTTGCATATGCACGTCTCGACAGCATTGCAGAAAAGTTGGGGTGTCGTTTTGGAGTTTTATTAATGATCTCTTAGCACGCATCCGTCGTTTTTTTCACCTGCTTAACAACAATGTAAAACAGGCGCTCGCTTACTCAAGTTTTAAGAAGTTGAAGAGCGTCTGTGAGTCGCTAGTAAAAGGTCGAGATCCTCGTGATCAGAAGATAGACAAATCTTGTCTTGATGTGACTGGAGCGCCAAGTCGACGCTACTGTGTGGCGGGGCCATCACGCGATGCGGTGAAACTGCACATTGAAGTAGCGGGCAATTGAATTTACGTTACTGGGTAATCTGAAGTATCGCAAATACCAAGTCATTACCTCCGACAGAAGCTCGAAATAAAAAACAACTAAAGATGGTATGTAGCAACGGTGCTTCAAAATCGGCACAGTGTTGGTGAATTGAATGTGGGCTATAGTTAACAGTTTAGTCGCGTAACACCAACGTCGTATTCTTTGTCGGTCGACCAATCAAGACGGCTCATCTCGTTGCTGTTAGCAATACTTTGCCCGTTTACGGTACAGTCAAGCTCTGTCTCGCCAAGGGTTTTGGTAACATGACTTGTCGGTACCATTGCATCAGATCGACATCCGAGCGAACATTTTTCAGGATGCTTGCACCTGATTGATCATGTCAACCGCTGATTATTCGCAAACAGAGGGTCAGATGAACCTTGTTAATTGCGTGGTTGAGAACATCTTTCGATGCACTTGCGCGAAGAGACCGTGGTGCTAATCAAGGTGCTCTTACTAGTTCAGAATATCACTGAACCTGCCTCTGCAGGTTGTACTTCATCTTTATTCAATTCGCAGTCAACCCTGGCATTTCTTTGCCATCGCCATCAAAAGGCTCCAGTTTTGGTAGCGGACAGACTGTTGATATAATTTTAACGGTAACAGCAAACCACATTGTAATGAGATTGAGCGTCATGTGCAGGGTGCGCGACGTTTTGTCTGAGAGTCCGGATGTGCGAAGGCAACAAGTCGATGCTAGATACAGACAAAATACACTCGAATAATAGACAGTAACCAGACAGTTTACGGAATGCAGTTAGCCTACGTGCACATGTGGTGTCAGCGGTCTATATACTAATTTGCAACCGTGCTACACCGTAGTATCATGGTCGTAGCTAATGAAAATTTAAATCGCTCTTCTACTAACCCAAAAAGAATACAAACAAATGATTTGTTCTATGTGGGATTTTGAAGTCATACCACGATCTTACCAGTGAGATGTGAACAGCTTTTTTAAAGACAAGTCAGCGTTTTCTTCAGCCTTTGATGCCGAGCTACCACCTAACGTTTTTAAGGCAGCGCAATTCTAAGCCGCTGGTTGCTTCAAGCCACGCCGTAAGATGGCGAGCATAGTGGGCAAGATGAAGTGCAACATATCTTAATTTTAGAACCTCCCGCTGAGACTTTTGGAGAGTAAACGAGCCGCCTTAACCGAGAGATCTCACGAGAGCCAGCCACAGGAGAGTCAACCTCCGCTGACACTGTTTGAAGACCAGAGGATGGCTCACTTTCGCGTGGAGCTAATTTCAGACGGGTGGGTAAGCCGGGGATTATTTGTTACTATTCCAGTGGAAGGAATCCCTCGCTCCAGAAACTCGTTGGAGGTTCAGGTTCACTTCGACAATTTTGCCCTGGTGCAATACCCACTGAAGTCCTGGTGCACTCGCGGCCTATCGCTTTGTTAGAGAGAAGCAGAGTCGCCCGTCGCGGCGCACTTCCACGAGTCTTCTGGTAAGTATGATTTTTGGTCGACTGCTATCACAGCTGTTTACAAAGATGAGACGAGTTGTGAACAGCGCAGCCCGGAGGTGGTGATTCTGAGCTCGTCATCCATGTTGTGCTTTGTACTTTGTACGATCGAGCATGAGATGGTGCATTAGTCAGATGTCCGAACGTTAAAGCTGACATGTAATGGCCTAAGACTAGTAAGACGGTGCGTTTCCCTCACGTTATGGCCGAACATTATCCAGTTCTCATCGACATTCAGCCAACTTCTAGCACCCATGGTTGTCTCTAGTGCAAGATACGGTTGTTTCAACCGCTGCTGTCCTTACTACAGAGGGAATGACTTTAGATGTGTTGGAATTGCTCTCGCAGAGCAACGTTTTGGTTTATGCTCTTTCTATCAGCGGAAGGCCCAACGCGTTGTCATATTAGGGATATACCAGATCGCAGCGAGCAAATGCCTATGTTTGAAACTGTAATCACGACGCAAAGAGTAATGTAAGAGAAGCGGAAAATCATGCGCTTGTAGAGGAGCAAGCTAGGCTCCTTGATCCAGGTCCATGACCAGCTGGTAATCGTCGTGAGCTCTTGGCCGTGGCGAATCAATACTTTTTTAGAATGGGTCTTATTGTCTATGTGAAGTATGGACCTAGTTGTCCCTTAGCATGCGATGGGAGGCCTACCAATTCATTCGATGAAGAATGAGCACGGAGCCCGAGACTAGAACAGCAAAGATGTTCAGCGCAGTAAGCGTTTTTTCTTCGGTGGGCGGCGCGACCGCATGCGTTCAAGAGATGTTTGGTCAGGTGTCAAAAAAATAAATATGATGCTCTCATTGGATAGCACCTCGTTGCCGATAAAATCTTTAAGCACGTTGGTCGCAAACACCGTGTATTTCGTTAGAGCTCGTTGAGCAATCTGACTTGGTGCACGTGAGAGGACTCCCGCAGCAAATTTCCTCTGGAAAAGGCACGGCTAAAAGCAGCGAGTGGATCTGTGTGTTTGCTAACGTGAACTCTTGAAGTCGAAAGTTGTTCCGTGCAAAATGCACGGTAAAACCGCTGCAGAGTGTGTTTGGTTGAAACGAGGACAAATAGGCAAGCACATTATGCTCCACCGTTATTCCTTTTCAGGCTTGAGCTTCAGATTGACAATAAGAGCTACCAGATAATACGGGGCTGCCATGGAACTCGCTTCAGAGGAAGTTTTGACAGCGCACAAAGGTTAGCTTGTGCGTGACAACGCGAAAGGAGAGCCTACCAGATATCAAGTACTTAATCTGCTTTTATTTCAAGAGTTGTTGATCTCGAAAGAAAAGACTATTGTGTAAAACATATCGTGGAATCTTCTGCTCTGGAATTACATCACCCATTAACTAATTATGTTACATGATCAAAATACTACGAGTGTAATGGGTACGTACACCACAATATGGTGTTTGCATATTTACAAAAATAACACTGTTATCAGAACTATGAGGACTTGATGGTGCCTTGTATTTTCCATACAATAATTGGCATCCTCAATGCCACGGCCATTTGCCACTATGCGTAACATTGCAGTGGTTTGTCAAATTGCGCTCATCAAAATATGATCTCGTCTTGTCTCTTGACGTACTACTAACGCTAGTATAGACGCTACGTGTATTGGGAGTCAGGATAATTTTCGTTGTGGCAATACTCGAAAGTTACAGCTGAAAAGTTGATACATTGCTGTTGCACCTTTGAATTATTATTGTAACTATCTTGCTCTCCGGTGTTCGTGTGTGTTATATGCAATTGTAACAAGAAATAAACCCAAGAATTGCTTCAAACGGCAAACATAGTGGCTGGATAACGACACAATAATTTTTATAATGGCAAGTGTTTTTACAACACCAAGATCTGAGCTTTTTACATATTAACGATACATAGGTGCAGTAAACTTGAGGGATTGGGGATTCTGGCATTTTCTATCCTGACCCATGCGCGTAGATACAAATCGCAATACGTGACACAATAACCCCAAATTTGTCAAAGAAACAAAATTTTTAGAAACGAAAAACCGTTGTCTTTTCCCTATTTTAAGTACCACGTCACATAATTCAGGCCTATAATCCCTATAAAATTCTTGCAATTAATTTATCTAAACTTTACATCAGAACAGAAAACGGATGTCAGTCACATGATCACGCCATTGTCGCAATTTGGACTCAAAGTTTGTGACATTGCAGACTATACAGTAAAAGTAGGCTAATCAATGACAGTACTATGATGCATGGTAGTATTACTATTATACTCTTTCTATTTCTTAGATAAATACAAGAAATACATAATTGACAATTCGAAGCACTGTGTACGACATGTAAGTGAGCTAAAACAAGCTAATGCTGTAAAAACTATACGAATTTGAACAAAATAGTGATTCCGATTGTTACACATGATTGATATTACTGTAGCAGCACAACAATAGTAATCTGTAAGACATTGTTGTTTTTTTCTTCTACATTGCTTAATATCTAAGAATATCAAAATACAACCCCTGGCTCCTTCATCAGCTGATTCAAATTTTAAATGAAACTGTATAAATCAAAATACTGCAATAACCCACTCGTGACATCAAATTTTCTATCTAATAAGCAAAAAGTGTAAAACTCGTTTTGTCTTCATCACGAGGACAGCTGCCACTTAGTTATGCCACATATGCAACTTCCCCCCAATTAGAATTCCTTCTCCTCCATCTTATCTTCCAATCCTGGACTGAACTTAATTTTGGCCAGTCGAAGCGACTTCATGTCGTCAGTGCACAAAGAACAATCGTCCGTCCCTCTTTTTCCGACTCTACCACTTCCTGATTGAGGTCTGACCGCCTCCAACTATATTTCTACCATCCTCATCCTCATACGCTACACACACACAGAGCAAACCGCCTCGACATGAGCAACGGCGTCGGTTTTACTGTATTCCATGTACCAGGTACGAAGATGGTCAAACGTCCGATGGCCACAAGACTCGGGGGTGGACCTGTGCTCTCAAATGTTGGCTCCTTGCATAATCAGGGAGAGTCTGATGTAGGAAATACCCCTGTTTCTTCAAGTGGCACTGGAGTTTCGTTTTCATTCTCACATCGTGGCCAGCGCAACAGTAATACGACATTTGCGGCATTTAATCCTCCAGGTAGCCTACAATCTCTTGCATCACAGACTTCGGGCGTTGTTTCGTTGCTTGGAGCGCCTTATGCAGGAACAAGTGGAAGTATGAACGGTCATAGCTCTACTGGTAGTAATTCGGGTCTCACTGGCAGTAGTATTGGCTATAAATCGAATAAAGGGGATGAACCGCCGCGTGGTGGCGTTGGATGGATGAAAACTGGCCGCGTCATTCGTGTAAAAGATTCAGGCGATAGTTTTCGCTTTCCATTAGACTCGGAGCATTTACCAACCGCTGATTTATCTACTGATCAGGTTGAGACATTTCGGAATAGATTGATTCAAATCGCTGAGACTCACGTCAATTCGACTGCCACGTGGCTCGATAATCCCACACAAAGTCCGCAGTATCGCAATGAAAGTTGGAAATCTCATTTAGACAAGAAAAATTGTATCATTTACCGTCAAAAAGAGACCGAAGCTAGCAATTTGCAGCGAAAAATTTTGATGCGATGCAAAATAGACACGTCATTGGATGAGTTGGAGTACGCTGTGAATTGCTGTACGACGGAAAGTCAACGTGCATATATGGCTCATTGTTATCAGGATAGTTTTCTTGATGCAGCTGTGCTTCAAGTGCATGAAAAGCCTTCGAATGAGGATTCTTTTCAATTTCTTGGGATTAAATGGTTTGCTTTTCAAAGCTCAGTTGACTCGGTCTTCAGCTGTCGTGACACACTTGTAATCGAACTATTGAGGACAATGGTGAATACAAAAGGGCAGAAGATATTGGTGAAAGTCCAGCAGAGCGTCGATGTCGCGGATATTAACGGGAGCGAACGCAATTTTGGCTTTATCCGCACATCTGGTACGTGCGTTTGGCTTTTTCGTAGTATGGGCCCGTCTAGTGGTAAAGTAGACGTGTCGATGATTGCGGATGAACATTTTGATGGGATTCGTAATACTCCTGGCTGGCTTGCAAACCGTGCTGTATCGACACTATACACAGTTGCGATTAATCATTCCACGGCTGCAGACGCCAAGTTTCTCGTACGTGGCCGTATGATTACAGACAAGGCGTGGGTACCGAATAGCGCTCGACCAGCGTGTTCGGTTTGCTTTAAAAGTTTTAATCTCTTGCGATCGCGTCATCACTGCCGCGTCTGTGCCGAGATCATGTGCAGTGCTTGCACCGTTGAGCTCGGTATTCAGTCCAGTAAACTTCCGCCTGGCATGTTACCGGAAACAGGTAGCAGCTTTATCGTTAGTGTTGAGAAGTTTTGCCTCAAGTGTATAAATAAGGCTCGACAAGAGCGTCGTACTGCAGTGACAGCAGGGGTCGATTTTACTGTGGATGAGGCGCATGAGGACAACGGACCGTCAATGTTTGCGTTTCGAACCAGTGAAGTGTTTCAAGGTCACGTGTCGTCCTCTCGAAATTCCGTGTCGGATCGTTTGGCTGATAAAGAATTAATTCCGCAGCAAAATAACTCACTTGCATCTTCATCGTCGTCGACAAGCTCATTAGGAGCCAGTAGTGTGAGTGGAGAAAAGTCGGGAATTTCGTATGCCGGATGGTCGACCAAAGTACTTTCAGCTATCAATCGAGAGAAACCGGCAGATGGCGTGAAAGAACAGTCACAAATGACACTTAAATCAGTTGGAAGCAGTAAAAATATAGATGTCGGTGTGCGCACAACTTGGCAAGTATCAAATGACCGACGACGGCACAATTCCGACGCCTCGGGTGGCTCCACAAGCGTCAGCTCGCTGAGTGATGGAGGCAGTACAGAGATTACAAGCCACAAAGAATACATCGCAGGGGATGCAGATGTGCTGTTGGAAGAACCGGACGAGGTTCAGAACATTACGCCTCTACCGACATCATTTAGTAAAATGGAGGAACAAATTGCTGCTCAGCAAGCGTTGCTGCGCTCGATGCTTATTGAGGGTAAGAAGATCATGGAGCAGCAGCAAGCACTAAATGGACAGGTCCATCCTGCACATCAGCAACGTTACATCAATCAAATGTTGTCATCACCGAGTCGAGATGGTAAGAGTGCACTCGCCTTACCGCCGTCATCTGCTTCTATTGAGTACATTGATTAAACGATCATTCGTTTTTATCGAATAAACATATTGAGTGTAAGCTTTCCAACTCTCTAGTCGTCTACTGTCTCGACTCTCTATATTGCTCATACTCGTCCATGAATTAATGTCTTTGTTTGGACGCAATGCAACAGAATAATGCCATTGAAAAATAATATACCACGGCGCGAATTATGCGTAACGAAAAACTAGAATCAAAGGCACCAAACATACCTGAACTAACTTTTCATTAAGTGAACGCATGCTGCTGATTTTCGTTCCATATTCGGCTGCTTTAGCCCATTTTCAAGAAGTTTTGTTGTAGGTAATAAATATGATAACTGGATATATTGAGTATCATCGAAACACTTTGATCCAGCTGCATGTACCAAATCAATTCTTAACATGCAATGCACCCGCAAAAGAGTTTTTGCTTTCTTCCACTTGTAGCGCTGCCTGCAATTTTATAACCGGACGCTTCACCACAAAGTCCAGCATGAAGGGATGCAAGCGTTGTTGTCTCACCGTACAGCAATTCTTCCTCGACATGAACATGATATTTCTGCGCAATTACACCCTGAAGCTGAGTCAATGCCATAGAATCGAGACCAAGTTCTTGTAGTGGCGTATCGCTTTGAATGTTTCTTGTTTCCACACCAAGCATACGGGCAAGTTCGTCGACCAAAAATGTTAGTACTTGATCAGGTGGCACTCCCGTGATGACCGTTCTTTTAGCTCTTTCGTCCGTTGGCTCAACAAACGAATCGTTCATGTTTCGATTCATTGTCTCTTCTATTACTGCTTCGTCATTTTCAATGTCAACTGGAATCTCAGCAATCATGTCTTCATTGCGATAAAGTTCCTCCAACTTCTTGTCCAGAAAAGCCTTCTTGCACTTCGATCGAGAGATCTTTCCACTTGTGGTCTTTGGAATAGACCGAGGTGCTAGCAGCACAACTATCGTCACTTTCACGCCGTGTTCGCGCGCGATCGCACTGCGAATTTTACCACACAAACTTGCCTTGCTAGTCATCGAAGGATCCCGCAGCTCTGCTACGAGTGTCAACAACTCCTCCTCTTCATTTCTGCCAGCTATATATGAGAATGCCGCACAGCAACCAGGGCGTACCTCTTCAAATGACTCAGCTGTTGCCTCTAAATCTTGCGGATAGTGGTTTCGACCGCGGATAATGACAAGATCCTTTATGCGACCACAAATGAAAAGTTCCTGATTGTATAAGACACCTAAATCACCGGTTCTCAAAAATGTTTTGCCGTCAGTGTTTCCAGCAATTTTAGCTTGGAACGCCTCAGCAGAAAGCTCACGCATTTCTTCACCGTAATAGCCTTGAGCTTTTGATGCGCTTGAGATCCAAATCTCACCAGTCTCTCCTTCAAGTTTTTCCGCATTTGTATCTGTATCTACAATACGGACATCGATACCATATTCTTTTCTCGAAGGCACACCGCAGCTAATCATCTCTTTCACCGAATCTACTCCTATCCTCTTTTCAACAACTTGAAAGACGCGATTTATACTCAAAGCCTGTTTATCAATCCACAGTCGTTGCGTTCCACCGCCGCAAACATACACCGTGTGTTCCGCAAGACCATATGTAGGTTTCACGACACCTTCTGGCAGACCGAAAGGCAAAAAAGCTTGGTAAAATTTATCAATCGCCTCACCTTGGATTGGTTCTGCACCATTTATCATATGCCGCACACTGGAAAGATCGACATGCTGACCGGTTGCTAGACCGACAGTAAGTCGGTCACTCTTTTTCGCCAGAAGTGAATAGGCAAAATTGGGAGCTTGAAGGTGTGTTGCTCGGTATTTCGAAACCAGACGCAGCCATAAGCATGGATCACGAATGAAGCTAAATGGGGATAGATAAACACCAACTCCACCATTAAATATCAACCCGAGATAAGCACCAATAAGTCCCATGTCATGATATTGCGGCAGCCAAGACACTACGACTGTATCTCGCCCTGCATGAAGCGCCGAGCTTATCGTGCGTAAATTGTGGTCCAGATTACCATGTGAGAGAATCACTCCCTTAGGTACACTTGTTGATCCCGATGTATACTGTAAAAAAGCCGTATCATCATCAGACGGCGATTGAGTAATCCAGTGCTTAGCAGGGTCAATTCCTTTAGCTTCCATCAAATTGTCCGTAACGACCCAATTTAAGTGCTCTGGCCACTCGGCAGAATTTGAGATTGAAAACTTTTCCTTGAGAGATGAGATTTTCTTGACATTATAATACATTGAGCAAGTCAATACTGTTTTCGCTTGGCAGTTTTGTGTTACTGCCACAAACATACTAATATCCTTCTTTAATTTCCGAGGATCAGGTGGGTACACAGGCACTGCAATTACTCCAGCTTTTAGACACGCAAGAAACGCAACGATAAAGTCCAGGCCAGGAGGATAGACTAGCAGCACTCGATCTCCCTTATTCAGCCCCATACTGCACGTAGAAAGTATAAACGATTTCAGTCGCACTCACTAATTATCAAACCTCAGCACATACCCTTCACTGTGCTGATACTTTAATGCGACGAGAAGACTCGCGAGGTTCTGCATACGCTTGTTGAGCTCCTACATAAAAAAATGAAAAACAACATACTTCAGACTTATAACGAATCATATAATTTAAAATATAGAATACCATGCAAGTTAGCGAAGCTGTTACGACACCTTTATCGTCTACAAATGATAACATAGTCTAAAGGAAACAAATACATTCAAATCAGTTTATTAGCAGTAGCTAAAGCCTTAAGTCTCTCAACTTTCGACAGAAAGATAATCCTATTAAACAGCAGATATTAACATAATCTAAACTCGTTCACACACCTTGTTAGGCGTTTCAGTCGCCCATTTTTCCACTCGTTCCAGTAGCTTTAACGACATTGTAATGCGCAACGGTTTTAAGGAAATTAACCCAATTAGCGTTTATCAGTTATAACATGCTAATTATGTTTGAGAGGGAAGACGCTTCAACACCAACAGCCAATCAACGCGTAGATCCGTTACCATCAGAACAACAAAAACACAAAACAATGCGAGGTGATCCCATCGTTTCGAAGCGACTACAGCAGACAGCAGAACAACTTCAAGCTGCTATTCAGCGTGTTCGAAAGAGAAAAGAATTTGTGTGTAATATAGATGAAGAATCAAGTGAGAAGTCATGGCAATTATCGCCAACTGTACTCTTATCACCTGAACAGGATGAGGTGCATTCAGAGGTTGATAAATTAAAATCAAATGATACATCGGTTGCTTCAGATTCAGTATCGCACACGCGTATGATCAAGTGTTTAAGTTAAAAATCTATGAAGATATTGACGTTGATATTGTGATTGTGTTGCTGCAGCTACAACAGAAGCTGTCGATGCTTTGGATCAAGCAGGTATACTAGAAATTGAAAGCCATGAGGCCCTGGAAAAGATGCAGCAAGATGTGAAGAGACAGAGACATGAGATTCAAGTTATTTGTGAGCTGCTAGTTCGCGCTATTCATAATATTACGGATGTTGTAGTCGATGTTGTGAATGATGAAGCTGCAAATGTTCTAGTATGTACAGCAGCAGCAGCGACGGGGGTGTCGCTTGAGACAGACAACAACGAAGCTACGTTGCAACTTGTGCCTGAGAAAGTGGAAGAGCTTATAGATTTGTGGGATGATGGCTTAGTTTCTTGGCGAGAGAAGAACTTAGAAGAGAAACATCAACTGACGATGGCATTTACAGAGTTTGAGGATGAGTGTCTTGCACGAATGAAGACTAATGAATCTTTGCACAAGTTTGCACACGAGAGACATGTTCTTGAATCAAATCAATGCCAAAGTGAGTCACATTTTTTGAGACATTGCTTAGTTATTGACTATCTCTTCTGTGCGCAGTGTATTATGAAGACTATACGAGTGGCATCACGCAAAAGCTTGAAAGCGCAGATAATGTCAATATATCTTTGCGTAATCGGGTGACAGATCTATCGTTTCTGCTAACAAAATCGGCAGCGGCAAATGCAAGACCCGTGGTTTCAGATGCAGCCACAGAGACTATCGACAATAGTGATATCCTTCAAAACCAAATGTTAAATCTTGCGGCTTGTGCTAAGTCGTCAGATCTTCACGCATTACGTTGTGAAGTAGAGCTGACGGAGCAAGTCCAGCGAGCGAACGAACTTGAAGCCCGATTGTTTATGTTGTTAGAGGAGAACGAACAACGAAAATGTTATCAAGAATTCACTAACACGAGTGTGAATATTAGTCATACCGTGGATATGTATCAACAAAAACTTAATCTACTTGAAGGTCGGGTCCAAGATGTACAGGATCAAGTGGCTTGCGACCACGAGCAAGCTGAATACGAAAAAGCAAAGTGGGTACTAGAGAAGCAACACCATCGCGAAAAGTACAACGAAGTGCTGGACACAAGTGTCAAAGTGCTTAAAGTGTTGATCATCCGTGAAAAATTATTAAAAAAGAACGAGCGATTGCAAAAGCGGATGAATAGAAAATGTCAGAGAAAGCAGACTGAGCTCATGAATCAAGGTGAGAAGCTGCAGGGAATAGCAACGGAGTTGATGCGACGAAGTGCGATGATGTTATTGATATTGCAAAAGCTGTCAGTTTTAAAAAGCGATATGAATCAGCTTCACGACTCCTGGACAATGCCAGCTAAGCCTGTATTGCTGATGAACACAATCAAGCGCCTGAAAAAGATTAAAGCAGAATTAGGTCAACATGACTGGACATTAAATGCGAACTCTAAAGGTGATTCAGTTGCTGAAATGCTGTAAGAATTTCGTCTTTGATAGCGTATATTTATCCTGGTGGCTTATGGAGATTAATTTGTTTCATGAACACGTATTAAAGTTATTTTTGTTACCGTCGTTCTTTCACTGTTAGTGTTTATATCGTTGGTGTAGCTAAATGAAGAGATGGCAAAGATAAGTTCGTCATTATCGATGCGCTAAAAAACACGAGATACCGCCATTATATTGTATAACACATGTCTGCTAGGCGAAAACTCATCATCTGTGCCGTTTTTGATAATGGGAAGATATCTCATGTATTCAGATCAATTCGGTGCATTAAGTTTAGTTGAAAACGGCACACCACCTAGCGACATTGATTGAATAATCTTCATTAAGGGGCATTTCACTAGCTCTGATCCTTCATAGACAAGAATTGTGTTTGAGATTGAATGTCCTACAATATTTAAATGATGAAACCAAGCGAGTCGCAGGACAGCAAGGAAATATATTTTTTTACGAATCGGACAAAGCACATTTATTTGATCAATGAAGTCCTGACAGCGACAATGACAGGAGAGAAGATCGTTCTCAAGAAGTACTACCAGGTGCTTGATTTAGCGGTTTCGCTTGCGAGCACATGATTTTGAGGCACCCGATTCCATTGAGGGAGTTTCGCTAGGTGAATCACCCTTGGTCATTACAGAAGGGGTATCAGCATCAGAGGCAGGAGTATCTGTGGATGGTGTAGGTGCGGATGGTGTAGGAGAATCTTCGGTCTTGCTGCTTCCAGACTTGGTACTTGATCCACCTGAACCACCACCGGTAAGCGAAACTTCATCTGAAACCGTGACACCATTGTAAGACAAAGTATCTGGTTTGGCAGCCATCTTAGGCTCACTTCCATCGCTCGAGAGAGTCAAAGCACCATAGTGGAATTCATGTGAAGTAGGAAGTTCTGATTTTATCTCATCCGTTCTCTCAAGGACAAGATCTGCATCACCTTCGCTCATGTAGAATTCGAGTGTGTATCCCGTACTCGAAGGCGCAAGACCAATACCAAAATTGTACCACGTACCAGGCTTGAAATCGGTCTCCCACTTTGGATCATATGTTCCACCATTGAGATAAATCAACTTGGTGGTGGTGAGACTGGCATCGAAACGAATTTCAAAAATGTGTGATTCAGTGAAGATACATTGCCAAGCGTAAGGATTCAAGAAAGCATCTTCTTTCATTACACTGATACGAAAAAAGGTCACACCTTTGGGGTTACCAGCGATCATCTGAACCAGTTCGGAACGACGAAAGTTTTGTTGCTTTTGAAAGATAGCTTTGGCATCCACACTGATATCTATAACGGCCGTGTCTCCATTATACGATGGTCGTGCATCTTGCTTGATCGTCACATAGTCTGCAGGCTTTCCATTTTGACCACCGTTTCGCTGGGTAAGGATGTGCGTCATGTATTTTTTTTCGAGCGTTGTAGCTGTCAAACCAACTCCAAGACCGTCCCAAGGGAGAGGTTGGTCAGCAGCGGTAGCAGGAGCTGCAAAATAAGCCGATACAAGTGCAGCAACGCCAAGCATTGCACTGGAAAAGACCATAGTTTTGACTTGATAAAGCGATCAATGTACGTCGAACGTAGCAAGTTTTCGAATGAAGAAAATGTTGCGCTGTTGGTGCTGATGTTACTTACACATACAAAGAAAGCTCAGTTCAGCCTATTCCGTTACGTTGTAGCTTTGCACATCGTAGAGTATGTTCCTGACGATGCATAATCCACACGACTGTATAGTACGGACGCAGACATTTGAATAAAAAGAGTGCAGATTCTTCGAGTTATACTATCAAAGTATATGCGCTTAAAAAAAGTAAAATGTTGTGATGACATTACAATTTGCATAAACGATTTGTTCTCATTGTCTACTCGCACGCTGATATGTGGCTGGTATCAAGCAGAGGAACCAGTCGAAGTTAGAGTTCAAATATTTCAAGTTCATCTTGAGTTCCTTCCATCTTTCTCATCAATTTTAATCAAAAGCATTAAAAATTCAGCTTACAACTTCATACATTCAGGTTGAAACGAGAGAGCTGTTAATTTTGACTTAAACATTCAATAGAAACTAGCATAAGTGGTTGATACCAAATGATTCAATCTCTTGCCTTAAGGACGCGCCATCCGTTTCGTGAGAACATGAGTTGGTCGTTAGAGAGAATTACTTTTGTTATAACAACAGACAGCATTTCGCGTATTTTTTTCAGGCGCATAACATAAGACAGCAATTAACAGAGTTTTGGAGGACGCCTATAATACCTTGCGATAATTAGCTGACAATGATAACATTGTGTAAAAAGAGGGTAAAAGCACGAATTAAGAAAGAAAGCCAGTGCGATTACGCTGGCTTATGTGATACAGATGATATTTCGGCACATTCGACATGGTCACGTCAGAACTTTTCAACGAGATAATATAATTTTGAGTTTTGATATATCATTTGTTCTAACAAAGCTAATTAGTCAGCCACACGATGTAACGTATAGTGAATTCCGCGGCAAAGCTCTTGGTATATACGATGCATCAGTCCCATGTTTCGCTGTATTGCCACCATAGCACCATTCAAATGGTGTCCACATTTTTACGATAATTTATCGGCATACATGCTCGTGCGCTTTGGCCCACTTCAAATTGGAGTCATGCCCATAAACTATCCCCAGTTGGTTTGCTGACATCATTTCGGCGTTGCACTTGTAGTGCATTCTTGTACAAAGGTACTTCGAGAGCCTTACGACGGGAGTTTCTTCAAAAACGCAAAAGCGAATCGTGCCCGACCATTCTGCAGCGGGCTGCCGTAGCTCTTTAGAGAAAGCTAAGCTAGGGACACCGACCTTATGTTTTCTTACAAGAACCAGTACGAGTGTGGCGGATCGCAATCCGCTACCCCCAGAGTACGTAAGAACCTTAAACAAGGTAAAAACGCTCTTCCGATCAAAATTGAAACTGTATCTAATTGTTTTAGTTGTGGCAAAGCCTACAACCTTTGATTTTCCTAATAATATAGTAATACCTAATCATTATAGTAGAACCTAATTCATATTACTTTACTCCTGGCAATCCTGCCATGTCGTGGCTTCTTATTACTGTGTCACACCATTGTCAGATTACACCAAGTGATGTAAGCCAAACCTTTGTACGGTCACACCATCTTGTGTGACCCACCTTTTCATACAAGATAACGTGTAACTCTGTTACAAAATTGACATCTGAAGTCAAGTCTAAGGCCAAAGTTAAGGGCTATAACACCATAAAGAGGTGCGGCCTTGCCTGGCACTACTGCCATGGACTCCACTTTACCTGCCCACCGCAAACTATACAAGTTCCACCAAGTATGTGCAATGCCCCCAAATTTGATGATGTCTCAGCCGATTGCCTGACTCCCATTGCAACCAGTACAACACCGTCGGTGAGCTATGGCGGGGACGACACAGCTTTCTTCTGTAGCATTAAAGCCCCGTCCTGATATCCCACTCCCAGCGATTTTGAATTGCACAACGACTGCTTTGGGAATAAAAAGTGCTAAGGCCCACCCACCAATACATTGCTCGTGCTTGTACCTATAGCCACATCCGCGTAACCTGAGTGTAGCATAAGAAGGAACAAATACTAGAAACGTGCGACTTTGGTTTCGCGCTGGCAGTATCAAAAGAAAGGATTTCCAATCTCTCATGAGTTTTATCCGTCTGCCTCAATCAAAAAGTAAACAGACGATAAAATGAAAGAACACAGCAAATGCACTGTGTTTGATAGAGATCTCGATGCACTATATGATATCAAAATCACCGCCTGGAGCTTCCACATCTCCGCTGGACAAATGGCAACTTCACCTAGCACGACGTCTTCTTATCCCAAAATCTATAGCTCCATCGTAGAGACATAATGTCTGCCCCATCTCGATTAATTCAGCGCATTGCATGGATTAGTAAGTGGTTACACATCCCGTGCCGTCGAACGGAGGATATCACGTGCTTTCAATGCACGTCCGTCATTAAACGATGGCGACAACATGAACTAGCAAACCGCACTGATGGGCTCAATCAAGAGCAGCTATTTTCCACTCCCTGTGAGCCAGCTCGCTCCAGTATCGCGGTCTCCGCGCAAGCGTCCCGGAGGATATTCCCCGCAACGCGATTTATTCGTTTCAGACGTGTGGAATACGGCTTCCGTTCGACGGATTTGTGGATGGTCAGCGTGCCCAATCTGGTGCAAAGAATCTTAAAGAGCGCTCGTCATTGCTATAAGGCGCGGATCCCAATCCGATATCTCTGTGTAAGTAACTATTGCCGCACCAACTTCAACTCGGAAATTTATCAATCCTCAAAAGAAAGAAACTACCAGGTCGCCAACAGTCGACCTCTGGGTGATGCCCTCGGAACGTCCTTTTCTGGACACAGACCGAGATCCTAGTCTGGAAATGGTCTCAGCTCCACCACCGCAACCTCAGAGAGAGATATATTCTCCATGCTTGATTGTACTTGACACGCGCGACCTCCGCGTTGCATCTTCTCGCCTTATGAGCAGGTAGAAATTTTCTTGAAGCTGTGAATGTTCATTTCTAGTAGCGTCGATATGGTGTGACTCCATTCAACTCCGTGTCCCGTAACGCAGCTAAACACTCTCGCCGTGTGATATGCTTCCATTTTTCGGAGGGTAACGGCTAAACAAATTCGTGGAGCGATTCACAAACCTTTCATGAGCTCTGTACTCGTAGATACTCATTCATTTAGACTAAGATCTGGTGCTTCCACGTTTCCCGTTACGAATAACACGTTCAACACGAAAATCAAGCCCATTCGGAGATTCAAGCGATCCTGTTGTGGCCACTTCCGCGTATGTGTCAACGCCAAGGCACAACGCCCATATAAAAATATCTAGGGTAGGGATCACCGAACCGGGGGCCACGATCACTACCTTGATATTCATCTCAGGGTTTTGGCTCTGGTGTATGGACTGCCGCTCTTCGGAGCAATGTGCCTAGTCGGTCTCGATATCTGTGAAATAAAAGTAACAAGGTAGTAAAAAATTGATTTGTAGACACGCTCTAGAATCTCATTTGGTCGATTTTGGGGGACAGTGGCGGTCTCCGTGCAGAGCATGCCACCTCATTAGTTCAAACACAATGTGTGGTTCGTGCCTCCCTCATAAATTGTTATGGTAATTAGCGTCCCTGACAGAAGATTCGGCTGCAACATATGGTAGATAGTCTACACTTCGACCCGCCTGGTGCAAACTTTAACGGTCAACAGCCCTATTTTGTACCTCGTATTTTGGAGTAGTCAAGCTCAACCCAGACATTCATTCTGGACGGATTGATTAATGGATTTAATAAATTTGATTTTATTATCACTTAAATTTATGTTGCACCTGACAAAAGACGCTTTCACTGTTCTATCTGATTATATGTGCCGTAAGAATTTGCATTGTATCAACTGCATGAATACTATTTCGTATATTGCCGCTTGAGCTGACAGTGCAATTTATATTGTTTACCACAATTTTTCTTAATACCAAGTATTCAATGCATGCGATACGAGTAAAATGTACGAAATCTAGCTCGCCGATAAGCGCGATAGGATTTGAATTCATACAGACGAGCGTCATACTAAGCGTAGCTATTGCTGTCATGATTGTCAAAAGACCAAGCTCGAATATATTATCGATGAAAGCGATGCAAGCTCAAAAGTAGAGTCTCATCGAGATTCTATTTATGAGAGAAAATTATCGTATAGCCTTCATTTAAATAAAACCTTCCAGGCGATGGCAGGGGCGTGCGCAAGCTTGTAGTTTGATATGGTCTCTTCCAGAGAGAATATCTAAAAGCGTATGCAATAATTTAAGTTATTGGCGCGGTACTTATGCGTCATGCCCGGAATTTTTCATAGCACTATGACTTCTTGCGACTATTTTCTTCCAGCCGCCCTCATTTTTTATCTTTAGAATCAATTGTTTTACGTCGTGCTCAATAACGGAAAGCAGTGCTTCTACAAACAATGTCGGCCTCGTTCGTGCTCTCACGCCGTTCACAGCATCAGTATCTCCATTTAGACGATGTTTACAACAGTAGTAGCGCACAATATGCCCATCTTGCTGCCAAACCTAGCAGCAGTATAAACTAGCATTTATAACACCACAAGCATGCAGAAAGTATATACCCTATACTATTTACTGCGTCCACTAGTTATACACTTTTATGTTAAACATTTTGGAAACAGAATGCTCACAAAGTTGTGAATCATATACTGAAATGTGCAACGTGGAATTCTGAAGACTCGAACTGAGGTAGTTTAAAGTGTCTAAATTTCGAGCAAACGAAGCGTACCGGCATTCCTTTTTGCCTGAGGTCCATTCGCTATCTTCACATTGTGTTATCAATACTCATCACATTTTTCACAACGATGGTAGCGTTATGGATCTTGTCAAATCTTTCAACTGGCAATCCAAAGTCATGAACGGACGGCAAAGTAACTACGGTCGCCTCCTAAGTGTCACTTTTGACGACTCAGTTGACTTCGGCGCCCTCTGCAACAAATCGGCAATGGCTATATAAAAGTCAGATTATTGGGTGCGTAAGTGACACGAATCGGCCAATCTAATCTATAACTATGACAAGAGATGTGCAGCAGAAAATGACAACACTAAATCAGCACCTGGCGAATCAAGTGATAGAGTAGCACGTTTAGAGGAAAGGCCTGTCCTTCTCCCTGAATACATCGACCAGCAGGCGCTCTACGAGAATGCATATGAGATTGAAAGTATGTTTACGCCGAGTATTGGTTTGCACATTACCCAGACATTTGGCAAAAAGGCACAAACATGTACCGCGTAATCCGAGGTTATGGCATATTAATTTTATTCTAGAGTAAGCAAATCATGCGGGGTAATGCCAATATCAACTCGCATATTTCAACGCCAAGCGCATAGCTACAGAAAATATTTACTTCGTTGCAGGTGCTACATCTACGAAAAAGCTAGGCTTTTATACTTCGAGAAATTAGCTATTCACTGATATGTACAAGAACCGAGAGCCAATACAGAGCCGATTAAAATACGTTTTCGGAAATTTGAAATTTGTGGCTGCAGAGTGGCCTACTGGGTAATAACCAAATTCTATTATACGTGGGGTTGAGGTAAACGGAATCAAGCCTAAAAGGGAGTACCGCTCGTTGAAAAGTAGGCGAGGTATTCTTCAGATTTGGCAATAACGTGCTAATTCTATAGAACTATGATTAGCGTTGATGAACTCCTGAGTGTCGTGCAACAACTTGCAGTGCACAGCAGTTTAAATAGAAGGTAATGCGAACAGCAAGATAAAACGCGAATTTCCTACGCCTCGCGACTTGCTAAGGTATAAGAGACACTTTGGAGTCTAGCTTGAGAACTCAGAACATTGAATCGTGAAGCGATTGTTGATTTTTGATCTGACTTTAAGACAAAATATCGTCCTGTAGATATCCTGTGTATACATCATTTGACATAAAAGCGTCTTTGTTTGCAGATCTTTGATGCCACTCGTGCCTCCTGGTGAAACATGGCCTCACAACAACTGGTAAGAAAAGCACTTTTGACAAGAGCTTGGAATACTCCTATTGAAATGGAAAACGAAACCATTGAGCTGGAGTATCCAGAGGCAATCTGTGTCGCGATGACATAATTGTCACTTTTTGGTTGGCCCAGGCAGCTGAAAATTACGGTCCCTAAGCTCGACCTTGAGATAGAAGATTGTGAATTCCATGTGATGCATACTCAGGTTGATATCTGTCTTGAAATAGGTATAGGGCAAAACAACATTCCACGCCATCAGTTTAAAAAGGGATTTTAGTACATTTTACAGTTTTTCTAGCGATCCCGTCTTTAAAAGCACTTATGTTGAATCCGGGGTCTGGATGCTAGATAGTTCAGCGTTATGATCATAACGTAAAATAACGTGTTTCCCTTTCACGCCCAACGCTTTTGGTGCTATGAGTAAATTTCATGGCTATTAACGCGCCGGGATGCTGATGTTGACACTCATCAATCCTGGGCTGCGAGCCCCACCTCTCTTTCGCTCCACGGAGTGATGGAACCTATTGTTTTACAAATTACAGTAGAGCTCAGTTATCTATCAGGTGCTACTCTGAAAGCTTTATTATCTTAGCTCACAGGGTTCACTACCAAAGATGTAAGATCTGCACGTACCAAAGAACTGGTCGATATCTATAAGCTCGATCACGTTCTTCCCAGCATCGCGAGAACTTACCGCCTTCGGTGTGTTCATAAAGCTCCATTTCCGGACTATTAGCGACTTCTGCACCACGCAGCTTAGATTTGGACATCCACTGCACTCTGATAGAGGTTACATGAGCGCAGTAGGCCTTGGTGCAAACCGCAAGGCTCCGAGACCCTCCTTATACCTAAAAATTGTCGCCGCCTATGAAAAAGAGCCTGACGCCCCCGCGGTGATTAAACTTTTTCACTTTGGGCATAGTCATCATTTAAAATCCAATGTTTGGTGCGAATGCCGCTTGTGAAATAGTAGCACATGTGATTGTCCATTCTCGCATGCTATCTTCTTGCTAAGGAACCGCTGTAGATAACCATTTTTCGCCCTCGTAGAGTTGATCGCTTAAAATAAGCAGCCTTATGATCGGTGAGGATTGTGTTATCTTAAACACCCGCGAAGATTTCCCACCC